ACGTCGTTTTACTTACATTTACACGTCGTTTTTACTTACATTTACACGTCGTTTTTACTTACATTTACACGTACGTTTTTACTTACATTTACACGTCGTTTTTACTTACATTACACATCGTTTTACTTACATTTACACCTCCGTTTTTACTTACATTTACACATCTGTTTTTATCTTAGATGATTTTAATCCACAGGTGGATACTGTACTGGTTGGGTTTACAGCTTCCTGCCTCTAGCTTTGCACTACTGTGTGTGTGTGTGTGTGTGTGTGTGTGTGACAGTAAACCAGCACTGAACCTGTAGAGTTCAGGTCATTTTCTAACCAAAGGGAATATATTTAATTATCTTATTTTGGTGCCGGTTCTGCAGATGGACTCTGTGGTTCTGTGGCTCAGCCGAGACTCCTATCCTGTCCTGGTACCGACCCATCAGAACCACATGTTGGCCTGTAACCTGTATGTGTGTTGATGTTCCAGCAGTGCTGAACACAGAACAGTTTTCTACGTTGTCCTCATTTTGGTCCAATAAAACCTTTTTCACAAATGTACATCTCTTTTATCTGACGGTGTTTGAATATTGAAATTAGTTTTAGAACATGATTTAATTAAACCGAACTATATTAATATAGTTTTTTCAACACTTAAGTCTGGCCACAGCTTGTAAACTAGAACTTCTACGTCGTCCGAGTCATTAGATAAATGTTGAGTTTTCTGATGAAAAAGCTAAATGGACTGAACTTAAGACACCTTTCTGTCCAACTCCACAGTCACGCAGTACTACATTACAGGTGCTGGTCATAATATTTAAATATGAAGAAGTTGATTTATTTCAGTAATTCCATTAAAAAGTGAAAATTGTATATTATATTCATTCATTACACACAGACTGATCTATTTCAAATGTTTATTTATTTTAATGTTGATTATAACTGACAACTAATGAAAACCCCAAATTCAGTCTCTCAGAAAATGAGAATATTGTGAAAAGGTTCAACATTGAAGACACCTGGTGTCACACTCTGATCAGCTGATTAACTCCAAAGGCCTTTAAATGGTCTCAGTCTAGTTCTGTAGCTACACAATCATGGGGAAGACTGCTGACTTGACACTTGTCCAAAAGACGACCACTGACACCTGCACAAGGAGGACAAGACACAAAAGGTCATTGCTACAGAGGCTGGCTGTTCATAGAGCTCTGTGTCCAAGCATATTAATAGAGAGGTGAAGGGAAGGAAACAATGTGGTAGAAAAAAGTGTACAAGCAGTAGAGATAACTGCACCCTGGAGAGGATGGTGAAACAAAACCCAGTCCAAAATGTGGGGGAGATTCACAAAGAGTGGACTGCAGCTGGAGTCAGTGCTTCAAGAACCACCACGCATAGACGTATGCAAGACAAGGGTTTCAGTTGTCACATTCCTTGTGTCAAGCCACGCTTCAACAAGAGACAGTGTCAGAAGCGTCTCACCTGGACGAAAGACAAAAAGGACTGGACTGTTGCTGAGTGGTCCAAAGTTATGTCCTCTGATGAAAGTACATTTTGCATTTCCTTGGTAAATCAAGGTCCCAGAGTCTGGAGGAAGAGGAGAGGCACAGAATCCATGTTGCTTGAGGTCCAGAGTCAAGTTTCCACAGTCAGTGATGGTTTGGTGCCATGACATCTGCTGGTGTTGGTCCACTGTGTTTTCCGAGGTCCAAGGTCAACGCAGCATCTACCAGTACGTTTTAGAGACTTCCTGCTGCTGACCAACTTTATGGAGATGCACATTTCATTTTCAACTGGACTTGGCACCTGCACACAGTGCCAAAGCTACCAGTACCTGGTTTAAGGATCATGGTGTCCCTGGTCTTAATTGTTCAGCAAACTCTCCTGACCGTAACCCCATAGAAAATCTGAGTCATTGTGAAGAGGAAGATGTGAAACACCAGGTCCAACAGTTCAGAAGAGCTGAAGGCCACGATCAGAGCAACCTGGACTCAGAACACCTGAGCAGAGACACAGACTGATCCACTCCATGACACGATGCATTGATGCAGTAATCCAGACAAAAGGAGCAACAACTAAGTACTGATGCTGAACATGCTCGTACTTTATGTTCATACTTTATGTTCATACTTTATGTTCATACTTTATGTTCATACTTTTTATGTTCATAAACATAAAAAGTATACTCGACCATAAAAACCCCCTCTTACAATGCTGTGATTGCTAGTATCACTCAGCCCTCTGTGAACAGTAAACAGCCATCAGGTGGTAATGATCCATTGTTAGGCTGATGGTCCTTCTTGAGCATGTGATCAGCTGGTTCTGGTTGTCAGCAGCAAACTGGTTGATCCACTCTGAGAAGGTGCTATTTAAGAGACTGAGCTGAATACAGCACCTCAGACTGAGGAAGTCCTCAGGATGAGAGAAGAAACATATCTATATATAATTTTTTTTTGAATGTCCAGAGGACCAGATTTATCTTTTTTAGATTTTTCTACCTGGATTATTGAGCAGCATCAGGATATTTTATGTTCATGCTTTTCAGTTGGCCAACAATTCTAAAAATACTTTTTTATTGGTTTTAAGTAATATTCTAATTCTCTGAGATACTGAATTTGGGGTTCTCATTAATTGTCAGTTATAATCATCAACATTAAAATAAATAACTGAAAAATGTTTAATCAAAGTATCAGTGTGTGTGTAATGAATGGATATAATATAAAAGTTTCACTTTTTGAATGGAATTACTGAAATAAATCAACTGTTTTTATGACGTTCTAATTTTATGTCCAGCACCTGTATACAAAGAAGAGTTCAGATCCAGAGATGGCCTGACTTCAGGACAACTTGGAGTTCCTCAGTGCTTGGACCCATACTCTTTACATTATATATACTTCTATTAGGAAGTTAGACAACACGGGGTAAATACTCATCGTTATGCTGATGATGAAAGTTACATTTAGATTACAAGCTTGTCACGTCTGGGTGACCGGGCCTTTTCGGTCACCGCACCGAGACTGTGGAACCAACTACGTCAGTAGTACTGATCAGTGATGTGGGACATTTAAAATCAAACCTTAAAAAAAACTTTTTTATTCAGAACCAGGTTTATTGTCATTGCTCTGCGAAATTACATTTCAGTACAGCTCGTCCAAGAGAAACAATCAGACATGGAGACTGAGGCGACTGAGGCTGCCGGCTCAAGAGGCGCAGCACTTTCTTCAGATAAGGAAAAAGAAACACGTGGGAGAGTGTAGGTGTAAAGAAATTCAAATCTCGCTCTCTGTCCTAGACAGGGCACAGTGTGAAAGTTGCAACAACAACAAAAAAGACCTCAGCACATGAAACAACAACTTACTGATGACATCGTAATACGTTTATGCACGAGGAGGCCGACGAGGGCAGTGAGCTGTCCGTGGACACTACCAGAAAGTTCCATAGTCCTCATAAAGATGGCACAGTGTCTATCAGCCGGCTCAACTCTGACACAGATCCACAGATGTCCTCGAGAGGGGAACGGAGCTTCTTGTTCACATAAACAACCAGGAGAAATATGAGACAGCTGGCCAACTCAAGGCTGAGAGGGGAAGCCA